TCTAAACTTACTAATGCGGTTGCTAATTTTTGGTGGAGTTCAAATGGAGATTCCAGAGGTATGCACTGGATGGCTTGGAACAAGTTGTGCAATAGCAAATCGGAAGGGGGGGTTAGGTTTTCGGAATGTAGACGATTTTAATTCAGCCCTATTAGCAAAACAATTATGGCGTTTGATTACGGTTCCAGATTCTCTTTTCGCGAAGGTGTTTAAAGGGCGGTATTTCGGAAATCCAATCCTTTGGAAAATATAAAATCATACTCCCCATCATATGGATGACGTAGTATCTGTTTAGCTAGATCTCTGGTTCATAAATAACTTATTAAAAGAGTCCGATCAGGGACATCTATCTCAGTTTGGGAGGATCCCTGGATTCCAGCTCAATTCCCGAGACCAGCAAAGAGTAATGGTTCACTTGTGGATCCATTGTTAAAAGTTAACAATCTTATAGATAGTCGGTCGAATTTTTAGAATATTGATCTCTTAAAAGAGATCTTTGATCCAGAAGATGTCGCCCTAATAAGTTCCCTACATGTGGGTGCGCCAACAAAGGAAGATACACTGGGTTGGCATTTTAAAAAATCCAGAAAATATACAGTTAAATCGGGATATCATACCATAAGGATAGAAAAGTCGGAGACCAATTTCTCTTTGCTTGGCCCAGACATCAGACCGTTAAAAGCATATTCTTGGCAAGTGCAGTGTCCACCTAAGATACGTCATTTCTTGTGGCAAATCTTAACGGGTTGTGTACCGGTTAAGAAAAATTTGCGGAAAAGAGGAATTGTTTGTGACACAGGCTGTGCCAGATGTGGCGAACCAGTGGAAACAATCAATCATACACTCTTTCAGTGCCACTCGACACGACAGATTTGGGCGCTTTCCCAGGTTCCTACGGCTATGGGAAATTTTTCAACGGAATCTATTTTTGCGAATTTGGATCACTTATTTTGGAGAATACCTTCAGAATTTGATTCATCAGCCTTCCCATGGATTATCTGGTATATTTGGAAAGCGAGGAATGAAAAAATCTTTGAAAATATTGATAAAGATCCGTTAGAGGTATTACGGTTAGCGGAAAAAGAAGCACAATTGTGGCAGTTAGCCCAAATCGAGCTTCATAATGGAAATCATGGTCATGTGGAATTGGTAACTCGATCTCGAGTGGGGGATGCTTCACTTGATTCGAATTATTCTGGATACCGTTGTTTTGTAGATGAATCATGGAAAGAAAGTGACAAGTTCTCCGGTACATGGTGGTTCTGTACATCATCAAACGGAGAGCCGCCAACCATGGGAGCTGCCAACCTCCGTAGAAGTCTATCTCCATTACATACAGAAGTCGAGGCCTTTCTCTGGACGATGAAGTGTATGATTGGTGCAGATAATCAAGAGGTAGCTTTCTTTACAGACTGTTATGATCTGGTGAAGATGGTGTCTTCTCCAACCGAATAGCCGGCGTTTTCAATGTATTTGGAGGAATTCCAGAGCGACAAGGACGAATTCTCAACCTTTTCTTTATCTTTAATTTCTCGTAGTGCTAATATAAAAGCGGATAATCTGGCACGAAAAATTCGTACAGAACTGCTTCATATCACATATGTAAATGACTCTTTTGAACTCTAATTAGTTTCGGATTAAAAAAAAATAACTGAATAAGTGACACTTTATGTTTGTTAAATAGAACAACACGTTATCATATTAATACATATTTATTTTAACAAAAAAACATACATATTCATTTTAAAAAATTTAAACAATGAAATTTACAAAACAATACTAGTTTCTTTAAATAAAGTGATGAGATTGAAAGAAATATTTACTTATGAGAAAAGAGAAGCAGAAAAATTGTGAGCGGAAAAACATTTCAAAATGCAAGAAGGTTGATGATGATTTGCAGCATTTTCATAATTTACCAAAAGGCCATTCACTTAATTATCCAAACAATTTATGTTTAAGTTTATAATTACATTTAACATGTGACTCATACTTTCCATCTAATTAACACGTTAATTTTATCAATTTTTTCGCTATCTAAATCTCAATGCACAAAAGATGGTTGATTGTCTTTTAATGATTAAAAGTTTAAGACTGCGCGTTTGATGGTCTGAAATTTAAAATCTAAATAATTACTAATTTACTATCGATGCTTTCTTTTGGAACGTGAGACTATGAAAACCAATTGATATTGGGTATTTCAGATTATAGGGTTTTCAAACTCTGGCTTATATATGGATTTTAGCCTCCCAACGTCTGAATATTGTTCCTCAGTTTCCATATTTTCGTTTTCTTTTCCGGCCGCCTTTAAGCACAAAAAAAACGACAAGACTTTTTATTTTTCAATCGAGTATTTCTTCCCATCTATCTATATGGGGAGGTGAAAAATACTCGGATCAATGACGTAAATTAAATCATTTTTTTGGTTAGGTGTTTTCCGCAAGTTCGTTCCTTATTAATTATTGTGATGTAATTCCAAATTGAAACAGATTTTCTATAATGTTAAGATTATATACTAATACTTTATGTTAACTTTGCATCCATATTAAAATTGATAAATCCATTTTGAATTAGCATATTTTTATTTTATGTTTTAATGGTCTGTTTGTATTGGTCTATTCCTATTGTTTTTTTTTTTTAATGCGCGTTTGATTGTCTTTTGTAGTATTCTTTTATTTTTTGTTTTCTCTTTTTTTAGGCGGAGTATTTGAGCTCCATTCTAGACTCTTGATCTTCAACCTACCATTCATATATATTGTTTCATACACAAATTAATGAAACATTAAAGTAAATGGTTAAGAAAGGACTGAAAATGACGAGAAAAGAAAAACGTAGCGTAGTAGAGGGGACAAGCTCATGAGTGAGATAATCCGACCAATGGAAATTTGTAATGCGCCTAAGTAACGCCTTTATCTTCCTTTTTGCTTATTTTTTAAAGAGCAATACTTGGGTTCACCCCTTTTTATTTTAACCAATCAGAATTCGTCACATAATAAAAAAAATTAAATTCATTTAATTATTAAATCTAATCGCTAGCCACTATTTTATAAACCCAAACCGATATATAAACCTTAATTCTCCTTTGTAAATCCAAACCGCCATTTAAACTCGTTTAATCGTAAAAAATCTGAACCTTAATCGTAATCTCTAAACCCAAACGGACATTTAACCTCGTTTAATTGTGAAATATAAATCCGTTTATAAACTCAAACCGATATTTAACCTCGTTTAATCATAAAATTTAAACTCTAATCATACTTTCTAAACCCAAACCGACATTTAACTTCGTTTAATTGTAAAATCTAAATCCGTTTATAAACCCAAACCGATATTTAACCTCGTTTAATCATAAAATCTAAACCCTAACCCTTTCTAATAAACCCAAACCGATACATAATTTCATTTTAGTGGTAAATTAGATTATATAATTAAATAATTTTTTATTATTATTATTAGGTGACAGATTCTGATTGGCTGAAATAAAGAGGGTGAATATAAAGGTTTACGGTGAACCCAAGTATTTTTCTTTCCCAAACTTAGAAAAAGCATATGTATTTTTATTATTTATTAATAATGTACACGCATTTAAAACTTGATTCATGCATACGTGACGTTGCCCTTTTCAAATTTGGCAAACCACTAAACCCCAACGAGGCAACGACTATTCCTCAACATTCCTCAACTATTCATCAACATTCATTGACAATAAACAAAAAAGGAAAAAAAAATATTCATTGACAACTTTTCGTTACAATAGTTTATATTAATCATAGCATAACGAATTTATTTATACTGCTGTCGGGGGATTGCCCACAATGTGGTTCTGAGGAGGAAACAAAGACTTGGCCGAGAGGAAGATCTCATATCTTACCTTGTATAGGGATGATTATGTCTTTAGTTAGAAGTTAAAACGGTAGTGGTAAGGGTCAAATACTAAAGGGGCATGGAGTTTCTCTCCTTTACATCGGAAGTGAAAAAGATCTAGTTTGGTCCATGTCAAACATCGTCTCATTAGGTTTATATTGCCTTGAGTTTTAGACCTAGCTGGTGTAAATGTCATAGTCCCTTGTTGAGTAGCCTTACTTCTCCAATTACTTCTCCAATCTAGACGAGTTTAGTCTCATTCGAGAGAGACTTTATAATTTCTTTCTTTTTTTCTTTTTTTTTTCTAAACTTCACATTTTTTTTTCGAAACTCGTTCTGTATTTGTTGTTTTGGTTTTATCATTAGTTTTGTCAATAACTTGTTCTAGAATTGTTGCAATTTTTGTTAGTGCACAAAGGGAAAAAATGATTCACAACATAATAGGAATGGTCGAGTTGAAAAAAAAAATAGGAATAATTATTTTTTTTTGCTAAGAATGTAAATATTTCATAAAAATGATAAATTTTTAAATATAATAATTTGACATTTGTTTGGTTGTAAAATATATTTGATCAATAATTAAAATTAAAATGATTAAGATTGAGAATTAAAATATAATTAGATGAAAACAGGGGTATTTTAGTCATATGGTCCCATGGCAAAAAAGATAAAAACATGGAAGCATAAAATAACCACAATTTTCGGTCCATCCACTCGACCATAGCAAAGAATCTCTGGGAGTTAGATGAAGCGATGACAATTTTATTGTTCTTCCTTTGAGAGCTGCAAAAGGAGAAGGGCAAGCGCAAATTATGATCGCCGAGCTCCAGAAGATAAAAAGCTTTAGAAGCCTTTCACAGGAGGTCCGAGACCGAGCTGTCAACGGAGAGGGACTCCAAACCCTTGCTCACATTCTCTCCCCTTGAAAAGTGAGAGCGAATCTTCATCCAAGTCCATGAGCTTACCAAGAACGAAACCTCATCCAAGTCTATTTTTAATTATTATTATTTTTTGGTCAAGAACTTCTTTTAATTAATAATATACATTATGCAGTTTCAAAACAGGGTGGTGACGAAGTGAACACACTAGCATAACTATATATTTTTCATTGCAAATGCAAGATATTTAAAAATAACAATATATCAAGCTTATTTTTATTTACACAACTCCTCTACGTACCCAAAACGGAATCATTGTTTACTAATGGAAAAATTACATATTTAGAAGATATATGGTTAAAACACGAAGTGAAAAAGAGATGAGAAAACAAAAAGCTACTATGTTTGTCCAAAAAAAACCAAAACAAACAAAAAAAGCTAAATTTCTTTCCAAAAGCAGAACCTTACTCATAATTCCACAAAAAACTTTCTTGGAGACGTTGGTCTAACAGTACTGAATCATGTCCATACGTAAAATCTTCTTCGGTAACATCTAACCATGGGGGCATCGATACCAGCCCCTCCAACGAGTCATAAAGCGCGAAATCGGTTTTTACATTGTTTTCAAGACTCGGCAACTCCACAATATCTCCTAGCTCCTCCGAGAGCATAGATGACGAGGACAAGGATGAGGATGAGGATGAGGATGACCTCTTTTCGATATTCTCAGTATCACACCTAGTTTGCAACGGCGTTGTTTCATCCTGAAGATGCAATGGTACAGTTTTGAAATCCATAAGAGCGGCTTTGGTAGCAGCAGCCTGGATGTCCTGTTGGCTGAGCGAGACTGGTCGTGGCAGAAAATCCGCGAGCTCGGGGAAGTTGAGGATTGCGGAACTTCCTTTGATACTCAATGCCGCAACATCGTGGGCACGGGCTGCCATCTCTGCCGTGGAGAAAGTCCCGAGCCAGATTCTTGATTTCTTACGAGGCTCCCGAATCTCCGAGACCCATTTCCCCCAGCTCCTCATGCGAGCCCCACGATATACCCCTTTTTCTTTGGGTTTCTCCTTTCTCTTCTTGGTGGAGGAACATTCCGTGTCGGAACCATGAGAATCCACCATTCTTCTTTCTCTCGTTTTGATCACAAAATGTTCCAAAAATTGTATACCAAAGTGTACAACAAGAATAATTAGTTTCTAGGAAGAAAGGATTGAGACAATTTTGAGTGTCGGTGTAGTAAAAGAAAGTTATTGTTTTTATGAACGAATCATTTTATGTTTCTTGATTTCCAATGACTACTATATATCTAGTGTGTGTGTGGGCTCAAATAAGAGAGAGGTAGTGTGGGGTATTGCTTACAAACTATTAGCTCTGAGATCAGTTATTCGGGATCCGGGATCCGGGAACCGCTGCGATCCGCTCCGGAAACAGGATATCTGGATCTGTGATATTTTCTAATATAATAAATTTTTAATATTTTATTATTATTATTTAAATTTTATTAATAATTTTCTTATTTTTATATAATAATATTATTTTAATTATTTATATTAAATTAATTTTTTTATCTTTTTCTTCACACTTACATTAATAAAATATTTTTATATAAAAAATCTAAATCCGGATATCCAGCTATTTTTACGGATTTCCTAAACCCGGATATCTGGATAGGACGGATCTGGATCCGGATACCTTAAAAAAGTCAGATATCCGGATTCGGCCCAATCCTACTAACTATATAGCGGACGTAAAATTCGAATGACCTTTTGGATTTAATGTTTGAGAAGGGAATTTAACGATAAAATGCCTTTTCAATCTATTTTAAAACACTCAACTAAATTTATATATAAAAGATACCTTAAATAATATAGGTTGATAAAATTAAGCACAACATTAAACGGCTAGATACTTTAAACGATTTTCATATAAAATAGCGCAACATAGCTTTTGTGGTTACAATTTAGATTATATGTCAATAGCTCGACTGGAAATGTACCCTAGGATAATATATGATTCCACATGAACGAGTGGCAGCTGGTAGGATCAGAGTAAATTATTGAAGACTGGTTCGGACATAAGGGAATGTATGAGCCTTCGGGCCAAAACCTCTTAGTTTGAAAAAACAAAAAAGTGGTTTTAGTCTAGAAGAGAAAAAAGAAGAAGATATTTGTATGATTTGCTCTAAACATTTGGAGCTTCAAAAGATGAAAAATCTCAAATTACAGAAATGAGACGAGCTTGTCTATGTAGAAGTCAACGAAGGAAACAGATTTGTTTCAGACTGCTCCATAGCAATTTCGCGAATACGAGGATAATCTAGACTAATCCGATTGATCTCACATGTATGTAAGTTCGTCGGGCACCTATACACTACCAGAGCCAGCCTTAAATTTTAGAAGAATAAAAGCGAGAGATTTTTTTGCCGTTTAAAACTTTTTCATAATAATATTTTTTTGTAACTTAACAAATTCTAAAAATGAATATGTTGTAAACAGAAAGTTTTTACACTCCATAATTGGAATATATAGATTTAGGTTAAATGAGATACATATATATTAAAGTACCAAAAGAAAGGATTTATGAGAACAAATAATACAGTAACGATGAGCTGATAAGGTCTGTGACGTGCATAACACATATTCAACACATTTAATCCAATAATGGTTGCTCATCGTCAGCAACTGGGACATGTGGGCGGTCAATGAGGACGTTCTCGTAGATGAAACCAGCGAGTCCACCGCCAATCAACGGTCCAACCCAATATACCCAATGGTCAGTCCAGTTTCCAGAGACCAAAGCCGGACCAAAAGACCGGGCGGGGTTCATCGAGGCACCAGAAAAGGCGCCGCCTGCAAGGATGTTGGCTCCAACGACAAATCCTGTGAGAAGTGGACCTAGTCCATCAAGGGATCCTTTCTTGGGATCCACCATAGTGGCGTAGACAGTGAAGAGAAGTGAGAATGTTAAGATTATCTCCCATATGATCCCTTGAGTGTAACTCACTCCAATTGCCAATGTGTGAACAGGAGTTGCCTAACCACAAAGCGTAATTGTTAAATGTCAAACTACTTGATAAATTAAACATACGAGAAACAAATCATATCTTGAAGTGTATAAAATTGAAAGTTTTAACAATTCGATAAGATATAGAAATTTAAAATTATTGCATATTAATCAATAACAACAAATGTACAGTATATATTAGAACTTGTGTATTATTGAATGAGATAACATTATATACGAAAAAATAAAATATAGGTACGCAATTGAAAGTTGACTTAATTATGGAACAATAAAATCATGTGAAAATGTATGTCATTCAATTATAATTTATAATATTTTCTGTCCTTGGGATTATTTTTAGTAGCGTTAAAAGTTGTTGATTAACAATAAATTAATTTTTGTACATTAAATTAGATTACGTACCATTCCTCCGGTGAGGTAACTGAGGAGGAAGCAGGCTGCAGAGGAGGCCAACAACTGATCAATCCAATAGAGGAATGCACGGAAGACGCTGATGTGGCCACCTAAAAGTAGACCGAGGGTGACCGCGGGGTTGAGGTGGCCACCGGAGATATGGCCGGCAGATATCATTACCGCCACAACAAATGCATGAGCCACCGCGACCGCGAAAAGTCCCACCAATGTGTTTCCGACTAAACTGTCTAAGATCATGAATAAAATAAAAATGGTGTTAATTGAAGTGCGTCACGGTTTCAAGAACCAATCTAAACGACTTGATTTGCAAGAAATAGAAGCCTTTATAAAAATAGAAATTAACATGGTGATGGTCAAACTATAACTTCAAAGAGCATGAATGTTAATTTACCGGTGGCCATGGCGGATCCAACGCCCGCGAAGACAAAGAGAAAGGTGGTGATGAATTCGACAATAAGGGCTTTAATGCAGCCTGGCTTAGCCGCCTCACTATGGTGACCTAACTCGATCTTCTTCATGGCTTTAGAATGAGTTTAAGAGTTTTAAACCAAGGAAATATTGCTGGATGGTTTGAGTTGATGTTATGCGTAATATATCAAGGCTACTTATAATGATAAATTTTTTTTATTACAAAAAGAAAAAAGAGAGAGAGTGAAAAGAAAGTGGTAAGGGAGCACATGGAACAAAATTATTGTATGATGATGATTGATCTGAGTTTCGAAAGTTGACTTGTATTATGTTCTTTAGTGAGATCTGTGATGTATTACTTTAATTAGTTTGACATATCGTTTTGGAGATTAGGTAACAATTTGACATATGCTTACACATTACAGTGCTCTTATTGGTGGTGTTCTTTATAATCAAAGGAGTGTTATTAGTTGGATAAGTTAAATTATTTCCATTGGATTTAAAGTACATCAGATTGATAAAAAAATAATTAATTTACAATGATTGGTTATTCATTGTACCGAATTCAATGTATAAGAATTATCATAGACTTTTACAATCCAAGGCATAAGAGTTAGAGGTTTCTACAATGATAAAAAAAATTACAAAATCAATAGAGGATGTTTAAACAAACGTAAAATAGAAACAAAAAAACAAGTAGTTGCATACAATTATATATATATATATATATATATATATATATATATATATTTGCTAAATTGTAAATATTTCATAGAAAATGAAAAAAATTTAGGTTAAAAACATAGATTTGAAACCTATGCATATGGATCCATGGCAAAAATAGTAAAAACATGGAAACATAACATACGGTTAATTAAAACCAAGTTTACGGTTAAATATACCTACGTTTGTCATTTTCTTTTATGAATTCCAAAAATTCCTTAGATATATATATATATATATATATATCTAAGGAATTTTTGGAATTCATAAAAGAAAATGACAAACGTAGGTATATTTGGTTTGGAGATATAGGGCTTGAATGGAGTAGCGTTTAAAAGACAGATGGTACACTCAGAACGGATGAAACGCATTATGCTTCCATTCAACGATAATTAAAAGAACAATTCTTGGGTTCACCCCTAGGGGTGAACCCAATTCATTCACCCCCTTTTTAGTAACCAATCAAAATATGCCATGTCATCTAATTAAAAACTTAAAACAATTAATATTATCTAAATAAAATAATTAAATTAAATCATTAAAAACCTAAAACTGAATTAATTGTAGGACCTACTAAATACTAATGTCTCCTTCACGTCCCTCACTCTTTAGTTTCCTTCATTTTTTTTTTTCAAATATTGTATTTCTTCCTTTTTAGCAGAAAATGTTAGAAAAATAATTTAACTAAAATAATTAATCTTAAAGCTTCAGCACTTCTATATGTTTTCCGCCTTTGTATTCAAAATGATCAAGCTTTACAATAAATCTCCGTAATTTTTGTCAAAATCCTACAAAATATAAGATTTCTAATCATGAAAAAATTGACCGAAAAGTCAAATATAAATAGTAAGAATGAATTATTTACTTGTAGTATTTGTGAATAAAAAGACACCGTCTGTAAAATCGGATTGTTGGTAACTACAGATAACTGGCTATCGGAAGCAAAAGTTGAATCTTAAAGCATTTATCGATTTTATCTTCACTTACTGAATCATATTTTTCCTAAGCTTGAAACTCAAACGATTTTTCACTAAGAAAACTAGATTCATCTGAGACTTGCAAACTAGATCCATATTGATCATTAAGAACAATTTCATGAATACTTTCCATTGCAATATGCACTAATTAATATAATATTATTGTATATATATTTTCATTATGTCATATAGATCTTGCCAATAAAACAAAAAATAGTAATACGGTACGATCTTAAAAAAAATGACGAGGAAGAAGAACAATTGGTTTTATCATCGATGCAACAAGAAAAACAAAATCTGACACTTGATCAAAACCAAATTAACAAAAAATAGAATACAAATAAAATCATAACAAACAAAAAGCATAAAAATTCACATACTAACATGTTTAGAAAAGACAAACAATTTCTCACTTCTATGATATTCAGTAGAATTACGTGAACTTTAGTAAACAAAATTTTTTTAATTGACTAATTTTTAAACTAAGAAATTTTGATGTACGTTAAAATAAGTATTTTGACTCACGTTTAAATTATGTGGAAACAATAATCTACTCACGTTTAAATTATGATAAAACTAATCTCTTTTGATTATATGTGAGAAGAAGAAAAGCGAAAAACTATGAATAAAGTTAGGATTAATAACATAAAATTTAGATTTAGGGTTAAGTTTCATTTTTTCCCT